GGACACTCATTGAACTGGGTAGTTCAATGAGCAGTAGTCAGCCTGCAATACCTGAAATCAATAAGTGTCTTAGAAACTGGATTTGGTCACAAAATACCTCTCTGCTATGCTGAAGGCACCCTAGTGATTAATGATTTTGTCAGCCTCGATGACACCATCATTACCCCAACATCATCCCAAGTCCCCTGATGCAGTTTGAGTATTCAACAAGCATTTGATCACAAAAGAGCACATAATGGTTCTACATGTTTTTAAAATTATCACATTTAAGCAGTAAGTTGATCTGGTTGGCAAGTACTGTACAAATAGCTGCTGCCGTGTTCTGGCACAAGGGAAACATCTTTTCTAGCGTAATCTGCGGAAAAGAATCACTTTCATGTGCGGCTTGCCCAGCATGAAGACTCAGGAGCAGGTCAAGTGTGAGGAAATGATCTCAGAAGGAGCTGAAAGCACAAAAACAAAACAAAATGAAAAAATCCCCAGCCCCCATAACAAAGAAACCAGAATCCCAAACTGAGAATGAATAGCCTCAGTGTTTGTCTCTGATACCAGACTTCAACTGTATGACCACTGTATGCACCACTGTATTAAAGAGAGTTTTCTGCCACTTTGCAATGGAATTATGAATTATTTATGTCTCATTTTACCAAAATGTCTCAAATAATAATTTATTTCTAGTTTTTAATTTCCAATGCTTTCATGCACTCATAGAATAAATGCAGTAGTTAGGGCAGCAATTTTGAAAATTCTCTATCTTCATGCCACAACAGTTGCTAAATCCAGCTAAAAGCAGTTTCTTCCCAAATTCCTTATTACCCAGCAGTGTTTCTCATGTGATTTGCATCACTGTAAATGTGAACAGACCAGAAAAGGGTAATTAAGAAAGGTTACTTGGCAAACATTCCCTTTTTCTCTTTGAATGTTCTTCCTCTGCAGTCTTGGCACACACGAGAGCGTTCTCCATTAACTGTGAAGAACACGAGTGTGATAGTGGAGCCCAGAGCTTCACTTGTTTTTTTTTAATCTGAGCAGGTTACATTGGAAATCAAAATTAACTACTTGACAAATGCCTATGTAACACTTTCCACTGGAGGATTTTTAAGTACTTAATTCAGGCTTTCCACGCTGTGCTGGGAAATGCACTCACCGCTTTGTCGGTGGCTATCATGGAGACAGGTAAATAATTTATTGGCAGGCTGTTCATCTGTTTGCCCTTATTGCTAGCTTGTGTAGCTTGCAATAACAAGCCTCCATTTAATAATAGCTAGTGCTCCCAAGGGGACTGTCACCATCCAAATCGTAACCACCACCACAACAGCAAAATCAATTCTAGGTGAAAGTTGGCAACTGGAATTTTTAAAATTTCCAATTAGTATTTTTCAGTTTCTTACTATCTTTCAAGCTTCTGCAAGTGGCAGGCTTGATTTCCAGGCAGATTTTGTTTCAGAATGCTTAATAACAGAGTGGCTATCTAGGATACAGTATAATTAGTCATGCAATTTACTCTGAAATCTTGCTGTGTGAAGCATTACACAGACTTCTGCTTTCCCTTCCCCTGCATTCTGTAGAATGATTGCTCTACTGAAATCATTTTTTCTTCTGTTAGTTTTTCAGAAAAGAAGCTGTAGGATCCT